GTCGTTTAGTTAAGAGTAAACCCTCTTTATTATAGAGAACCACTCCAAATCGAACAACAACAGTGGATTTAGTCAATATACTTGGTTAGTAAATTTAGCCAAAGTATTATTGTTGTTACCTTAAAGCAACTATTACTTCTTCCGTGCATGTAATCTTTACTAATACTCCATATATGTGGCTCAGAATGAGACAAAAGTCAAATTACGGTAATGAAGTTGAGAGGAGATCAAGTCTATCTAATTATAATAAGCCTCATGATTCCTTCCGTTACGGGCGTTATTAGATCTAAAGGCCTAGCTACACTTTGTCATCTCAACTACATCAAAATAAATGATTTTCCCTTTATGTAATAAATCACCCTCCATCTTTAAGTGTTGGCATCTCCTATATAACCCTAAGAATTTTTCCCATAAGTCATATCTATTGACCTATTTATCTCAAAAAATAGAAATGTTGTTCCGACCTAGTTTGTTGACCTAAGTTATTGTTGGTGTTGTGTCCAAGGAATATTTGTTTAAGAAACCAAAATGGGGTTTTGTAAGATTTCAATAGCTCTTGTATCTCTCATGGTATTAGTAGTATTTCCTTCCTCTCAAGCCCAAAACTCACACAGAGACTACCTCATTGCTCACAATGCTGCTCGAGCACAAGTGGGTGTTGATCCTATGACATGGGACAACAAAGTAGCTGCCTATGCACAAAACTATGCCAACCAGAGGGCTCGTGACTGCAAGCTGGTGCATTCCAATGGCCCCTACGGGGAAAACATTGTCGAGGCCAGTTATGCCATCACCGGCTCCGAATCTGTCAAGCTGTGGGTTAAAGAGAAGCCTAAGTATGACTACAAGTCGAACTCGTGTATTGGGGGAGAATGCGGGCACTATACTCAGGTGGTTTGGCGTAACTCGGTTCACCTCGGATGCGCTAGGGTTTCGTGCAGGAGTGGTTGGTGGTTTGTGACCTGTAACTACGATCCCCCAGGCAACTGGATTGGGGAACGCCCTTATTAGTAACTTACCAATAATACCAAATTTATTGGCTAATTTCATAGTTGTCGTTTATTTGAGAGTGGACCCCACTTATTATGAAAAAACCACCCCTAGTCAAACTACAAATTTAGTCAATAAATTTGGTCAAAATATTATTGTTGTTACCTTAAAGCAACTATTACTAGTTCAGTGCATGCAATCTTTATTAAGCTAACATTTCAAACAACAGGAAAGAGAGAAAGAAAGTACAGGGTATTCCATACATTTTTGTGAAAATTATCTCATATTTATGGCAAGACTACTCTCTTTTTTTTTTTTTGCAAAAAGACCTTACAAATTCAATGATATAATGTAATAAGGTATATTATTATTTAGATGCTCACGTTTTATATTTTTTCTTCAATTTTTTTTTTTTTTTGGTTCAACGGTCAGGGTGTCCGGATGACTTACTCACATCTCAACTAATGTCCTCCCTGGTCCGATCAAAGGCAAGTCATCCATGATAGTACTAGGAGATTTATGAGAAATAAATCTCTCATGACCTAACCTCAAAGGATTGTCAATATTCCAACTCAACAGGTATGAGTTTATAGTTCGATCCTGTTATCACTTGAAGTGTCTCACAGAGTTAGCTTTCCTTCAACTTTTTGACACTCGAGTTTCTAGGGTTAAGTGAAGTCTAAGCTTGACTTTTTAACTCACAAACGATGCTTAACTTCGACAGTCAGGGAATATTAAATAAGAAATTTGACGTTAGTATTATGGTTAAGTTTACAAGGTTTTTAGGTTGAGGTAAAAAGTTTTTGAAGATTTGTTTACAACAATCGAAGTTTGGATTGACTCTACAAAATTTATAATTTTTGGGTCATGTTTTAGCTTTTAGGGTTCAAGTAAATATTTTTTAGTATCAATTTATAATTTTTTAGGATACTTGGGATCAATCTTCATAAAATTCCAAAAAGTTATATATGAGCACAAAAACTATACAAAATATCTAAAAATTTATACATGGTAATACAATATAGAAAATATGTTTTAGGTACCGTAAACTTCTACCTAAATAGGATTGGGTGAAAAATAGATCAATCGACTGAATAATAAGAATAGATTGACTAGTTTCAAAGTATACATACCTAATCATCCACACCTCTTAGCTTGTAATCATATCTAGACAAAACAAAAAGGAAATAAAAAGTGTTATCAGATTATCCCAAATGATCATATCATCCTAATCTTGGGTATACTGAATGTGGCCACTTTAAAAGCCCTATCTCTTTCACTGTTTATTCTACCATCCATTACACTATAGTACATTTTTGCTTTAAATGGTGATGAACCATTGAACACTTGATGAAGATAACCAACATTTAAAAGCAAACAAAGTGCTCCATATATGGAACACCTTGGTGGGAAAAAAGAAACATTTGGGTCATAAAGTCCAACGCGCATTCTTTCACCCTTCTTTCTTTACACATTATCATCTCTAACGTTAACATTCAAGATATACAAACTCACTCTAAAACTGAAACTCATAACATCTCTATATATGAGGGTAAGACTGATCAGTATACTGACCCTCCTCATTATCTACAATGACAACAGTCTCGTGCATTGAACCATTCTTTTTTATCAAACACCATGATTTATACCATTTTCTATGTAGATAGCACAAGAATATTTGCTCAATTGGATGAGATGTCAAACACCATGAATTATAGTATTTTCTGGGCTGGTCGTGAGATTTTCTCCATTACTTGTTCATACAATTTCACTTTATGGTAGATTATCTACCATGTACTCAACTGAGACCCACTATTTATCTGTGGGCTCTTCACTCATATACGGTTGATGATCTACCATTGAATAATTATATAAAAGTGTAACAAAGAGAATTTAGATCCTTTAAAGTGATTGTTTGATTTTCTATTTGCATTTTCTGATTCCTTGACTTAAGCACTACGTAGTTTCTTCCGTTAGAAAAGTAAATATTCAAATTATCTTAAGTCAAGCCCAGTTTTTTTATTACATTATCTTTTAAACATGCCTGCAGACGAAAGTCATTGGTTTTAAGTCCAAAGGGGATGGTTTGGTGCCTTTAGGGTTGCTTAAAGGTCAAAAATGGTGTGTTCATAACCCTTCTGCCACATGCCACTAATATTCAAGTTGGTCAGAATGAATGTCCATTGTGCAGTCTTGGTTCCAATTTACTCTTCAACATGAACAAGATATGAACCCTAAAAAATGTACCACCATTAAAATCATTATAAACTAATCAAGTTAGTTTTAGACGCTCTTCTAGTTGGTATTGAAATAGTTTTTCATTAACTTGAATATTGACATAGACAGGAATCAAAATAATACAACTCAAACTGATACGTTATAACTCGATTGAGTCACCTCTAATATAGTCTTATGGGATGTATTTAAGTCCAAAGGGGATGTTTTGATGGCTTTATAGGGTTGCTTAAAAGTGAAAAATGAAGAGTGTTTAGCACTTCTGCAACATGCTATTAATTTCCAAGCTTTTGCAGTGTACTCACATTCTATATATAGGTCTATAAATACCCTAGAATGTAAGTATTTTTCACACATCAAACAATAAGAATCTCAACGTTTGCATTGCATTTTCCATAAGTGATATGGGGTGTTACAAAATTCCTTTAGCTCTTGTTTGTTTCATAAGCTTAGCCTTTGTTAGTCCCTCCAATGCCCAAAACTCACCACAAGACTACCTTGTTGCTCATAACGCAGCTCGTGCTCAGGTGCGTAGGGACGGAACTAGATTATGAACTGTGGGGGGAGGCGATGGCCCCCTACGTCTCCAAAATTTCCAATTGATTTCCAAAAATATTATCTGGTCCCCTGAAATTTTTTATTATATATACTAGTTTTTTTCTATTAACATTCTCGATTTTAAAATTTTTGGTTCTGCCACTGTAGGTGGGCGTCGCGAACATTACATGGAGCAACACTGTTGCAGCATATGCACAAAACTATGCCAATCAGAGGATCAGTGATTGCAATCTCGTGCACTCAGACGGGTCTTATGGCGAGAACCTTGCAAAGGGTAGTGGTGTTTTCACAGGCACTGCTGCTGTGAACTTGTGGGTTGCAGAAAGGCCATGCTACAATTATACCACAAACTCCTGCGTTGGGGGCGAATGTCTGCATTATACACAGGTGGTGTGGCGCAACTCGGTTCGGCTCGGGTGTGCTAGGGTTCAGTGCAACAATGGATGGTGGTTTGTCATTTGTAGCTATGATCCTCCAGGCAACTATGTTGGGCAGCGCCCATATTAGAGTGGTGCTTAAGCTTTAATTGCCTAAACAGCTAATGTTATAAGGGGATATTTGATAAATAAGCTATTAATTTGAGCAGTAATTATAAGCTTAATTGAAGTAATAAGAGTAGAGAAAGCTCTACTGAAAAAGCTGTGATGGAATGGAATTGATCCACCTTCGTACTGGAACTTGTATCAGTAACCTCATTATGGAATTGAACGCTAGTATTATAATTTGTTCTAAACGATTGTATGAATTTGGTGTTTTTTCCATCCAAGTGCGCATAATCACGCGAGGGGGCGGTATTTTTTATTCTCTACATCTGTATAATTGAGCCTCGTATATAAAATTTACAAATATTTATAATCGTGTTCAATTGTATTGAATCAACTTTTCTTTTTTTTTTCGGTATGATTTCAACCACACGCGTCTTTTGGACTTGTGACTGCAACATAAAAATCTAAAATATTCAATCTCCCATAAACCAATTGCCTTGGTTAAATTGAATTTTAAACAAACATGCATGTTTACATCTCGCCATTTATTGATTATTGAACCAATCCACGCAAGTTATATGAGCCAGAATTTAAACTTCACATCCAAGACAGATTTCTTCATCCCAAAAGAGCTATAACCATTATATTGGTATTGGATCTACCACCATGAGATCAATTGATATTAAGATCAAAGAATAAAAACAGAACAATCATTTTCTCTCTCCACCTTGATCAATACTTGGGAAGATTGCACTCCTTTGGAAGGTTGTTCTGAAACCTCTGATTATCTTGGCAATAGTCATATATGAGGTAGTTTTTTCTTACCCAATTGAAAGAACTTCTCTGTTTCGAAGTTAGACTACTAAATGTGTTCTGGTTCCACCAATTTGTAGAGCTACTTTGGACACAAGACCATGTATTTCCTCTCCAAACACAGGCATCAATCTTGTAGTTCCTGAATGAAGACATGAAGGGGCCCTTTGACCAGTCAATCTTGTCCCGGCCACCCCTAGTCGCCCAGCTGTCGCCGTTCCATAGGGTGATATGAAGGCTCATTGGTTGATTTATAGGAAATGCCACTCCCTTGTCTGCATGGTTTCTGTATGTTCTAATGGGACGAGAGTCCTCCATGAATCTGCAGAAAGAATAAACATCCAATGACCGCACTTATCGTCCATGGTACCCATTAGTATGAGCACTACAATACTCCAAACTGTTGTTAAACCATAATTTTCTTGTAGAGTTTTACGATAAGAGGCTTCTTCATGGGCGGGAAAAGAAATTCAAAACTAACTGTAGACTGTTAAATCAAAATTTTTGAGATGATCTGAATCGTCTTTTATGTTGGAATTACGTTGTTCATCGGATGTGTTTATGTTTTGTCTCAAAACGATCTGGACCTCTCTTTATTTTTTGGATTCAAATTTCGTTCAACTTTATTATATATTAATGGGTATGTTTGGCTTAGACATTAGATAGTATCGGATTGGACAAATTCATTCATTCCATACCTATCCATTCGAGCCTTGAACTAATTATAGTGATAATGCATTCTCATCCCAAGTTTGATTCAAGTATTAAGAAGTAGTGGATCTCATATTTATCACATCCAATACTTTGTTTGGATGGAATATTGAATGATGGTATAATTGTAGTTCATCCATATATATCAAAATCAACCACTCCACATTAATTTCGGTATTGTACTTTTGTAATACCATAGACTTATCGTATAAGAAAAGTCCGCATTAATTTCGGTATTGTTCCTTCGTGTCATATTTAAGTATGTATCGTACATATCCAATGGTAAATAGACACTCCTACTTTAAGGACATTGGGAAAAATCAACAAGCCGTAACTTGCAAGGCTCAACTCTCTTTATTAACTGTTTATCAGTTGGTCAATCTTACAGGGATTAGAGTTTTGAGAAGGGCATTCAAATTTTTGATTACTGCAATTTTTTATTCTACTTTATTGATCGGTTATTCAAAAAAAATTAGATAGAAATGCGAAAGATTTTTTGATCTTCTGATTAAATCGGGTAGGAATACGGAATGTCTATCAAAATTTCGTATTCCTACCTTATCTTACCCGTATATATATATATATAGTTATTACAAACTTCAAGGATCAAAGTGATAAAATTTGAAGGACCAAACCAACATCTCAATTGGATTAAAGTGATAGATATTGAAAAAATAATTTTTTTGCAAAATATCAAATAGAAAGATGAAAGACCATATTTTTTATCTGTAAGGTGGGGGTGAACACCCCTAGTTTTGAGGACCACTCTAGTTTTGAGGACCACTCTGATTTAAATCTTGTCTTAGTCTGCTCTTTCCAAGCTGTGGACAGAGGGATATGAACGACTGCGTAAAATAGGCTTATAGGGAAATGGATAGGGGCAACCTGGACTCGATTTTAGTTTGTTCATATTAAAAAATAAACAAAAAAAATGAACAAACTTTTAAACTCGAACTGTGTGTGGCTTGTCTTGGTAGGATCGGACTTGATTCGTTTACAATATTATATATACATATTTTCTATCGTGAAAAAATAACATCATAGCACCGGATGATAACATAAAATGTCTTGATTTCTAATCTGAACATTTTGTATCAAAATCCCTTTAATTTGGACATGGATTTCTATGTCCGCAGAGTTGATGATAACATAAAATGTCCAACATGTGGCACCAGTCTTCATGGACCCAACCATTGCCTTCTTACGTACGTAGAATTGATGGCGACAATAAAAGAAAAAAAAAATTGATATCTCGTTATCAAATATCTTGTACATGGATTTAAGTTTCGCCGTATTCATGAATAAAATTGACAACTACAATTAATTCGAATAAGACTTTTCGTATCAAAACCCGAATAACTTGGTTCAATGAACACAGGATATTCATGTCACAGCTCTCATATTTGGAAATTTCTCCTTCTCAATTGTTTCCACGAGGAAAAAAAAAAAGATGGACCCCGAACTTTTCTTATTTACGTAGACTTGATGACCACGTTAGAAAGACGTCATGGTGCTTTTCACACCATGACCTTCATATATACATAATTATATTTGATGACCACATTAAATTTTAAATGTTACAATTACAGTATTAAAAGAGATACAATACTTAAAATTGAAACTTTTATGGATTAAATTATTTTTAAGTACGGGTGTTTTCGACTAATTTTAGGATTTTAAACTCGATTTCAAAGACACCAAAAAGGTTATAACTAGTTTCAAAAAAATTATATTTTGCGATCTCATCGATACCCAAAAAAAAAAAAAAAAAGCACCACCCACGACTGTCGGTCTTGTGGGCCAAATACAAGTCTGGCAAGAAAAACATGAAGGAAGACTCAAGACTTTCATTTTCTAAACGCTTCCAAGTTTTCTTTTGTCCGACTACAATGAGACACAAAAACAGACAAGTAATAAGGCGAAAGTTTGAAATGAGAGAGAGATTGGGAAAATAAGAGCTTTTTGGGGCAAAAAGGAGTGTGAAAGAGAGAAAAAAAAAAACCCACCTTGGTAACCGCAAGACTTTGTTCAAAAAAAGAAAAACTGTAAGACTCACAACACCCATAGTCAAGATTCAAGACTAAACACCAATATTCTTCTTTAACCTTCAATAGCATTATAATGACACAACTAACAGATCTTTGTTAAAACATTCTAAATCCATTTTTTTATTTTTTATTTTTATATTTAATCATATGATTTTATGGAGTGCAGGCAAATGGTTCGCAACATTTTGACCTTTAGTTGTTAGATTTGCATGAATTTTGTTACATCTAACACTTTTTTTTTTGAACGAAAAACTGAATAGAGTATCATTTGAGACTCCCGTAATTATGGAATACAGAAAGGATCAGACATATGTAACATTATTCTCATGTGCAAAAAGAGATAATTTTTGTAATTTGGACCGTGACTTTGATTTTAAGTTAAAAAAGTCTTATCGGGCCCTTTCAAGAACCAATGTCTAAGAATTAATAGTAATTATTTGTATTAATTCAATTGTTATAGTAAATTAACTCAATAAATTATGTTCAAGCAACATATTACTCTATAATCACCTAATTTAATAACTTAATTTACTGATCTAATCTGTCACATCTATTAATTGTGGACCACATCCAATATTGAGACTTGTGCTAATCCAACGGCTGTAGTGAATTACATCAAAAAATTAAGTTTAAGTAACATTACTATATCATCAAGAATAACATTGTTGTATTCTTTTTGTTTTGGGGATGAAGGATCTTCATTTCTCCTGCTCGGAAGATGAATCATCCCGTTGGACTCTCTTTTGTAAATTGTTCCTGGACCTCTTTTTATTTTTATTATATTCATCTTCCTTACCGGGAAAAAAAAAAAAAATGTTATTCAAATATAATTTATTAGCCTAATTTACTACGGTATTTGAATTAACAGAGAGCCTCATTCAACATAGATATTTGATATTAATTCAATAACTAAGGTGAATTAAGTCGATAAATTAAATTGAATAACATCGTTCCATCGTCAAACTTTCTCGTCATCATTCCATCATCAAACTTTCTCAATGTAAATGTAGAGAAAATTACTGCATCCAATCACGGTTGCCGTGGAACATGTGTTATGACTAAACCGTCTGAAAAACGTTTCTCTTTCACCTATATATAGGCCTTTCATCTCCTACCTAGTTTTTCACAAATAACCTAAGATTTTGCTAAGCAATAGAGTGATATCAAAATGGGTATGTGTAAGACCTCACTAGCCCTTGTTTGCCTCCTAGGCTTGGTAATGTTTCATTCCTCTCAAGCCCAAAACTCACCCGAAGACTATCTCAATGCCCACAATGCAGCTCGTTCACAGGTGGGTGTTGGTCCTCTGACATGGGACAACAACGTAGCCTCCTATGCAGAAAACTATGCAAATCAAAGGATCAATGACTGCAACCTCATCCACTCGCAAGGCCAATACGGCGAAAACCTGGCCACCGGAACTGGCACCTTATCAGGAACCGATGCCGTGAACCTGTGGGTCAGTGAGAGTGTTAATTATGACTACAATTCCAATTCTTGTACTGGTGAGCAGTGCGGGCACTACACTCAGGTGGTTTGGCGTGACTCGACTCGTCTCGGTTGTGCTAGGGTTCAATGCAACAATGGCGGGTGGTTTGTGACTTGCAACTACGATCCACCAGGCAATGTCATCGGGCAGCGTCCTTACTAGAGAGAGATGGTTCTCTAATAATCTTTAAGCAAATGCTAGTAGCTAATAGCGTTTGATCATAAATAAGAGTATGCTGTGTGTTTTTGAGTGATGATTTACCTTAACCAAACAGCCTTGTATCTCTTATTATTCTCGCTATATAATTATGCTGTGTTCTTTGTGTGGAAATTTAATATGCTTAGCGAGTGGTAGTTAAATAAGGACGAGTTATAAGTTTAGATATTTTAAATTCGAATTTTGGCAATTTCTTGGAGCCAGATCATAAGAGATTTATCTCTCATAAATACCATAATTTCGGCGTGGATGATCTGTCTTTAACCGGACTGGAGAGAAGATTATTTGTTGTGCACGTAAGTTCGTTCAGACACCCTTTATCGTTGAACCAAAAAAAAAAAAAATTAATATGCTTTGCCAAGAAATCTTAGGACTTTTGGCGAAGGAAAATACTATGCATGGATCCAAAACTGGGGATCTCCAATGAATTCCAAATGAGTAGGATGTTTGGATGAATGGGTCCAATTGAAAAAAGTTAGAAAGACCGACTGATTCAAGGGTCCAAAATCGTTTGGGATTCTATTGGGTATCCCTAACATTACTCTTTGGCGAAATATAGAAACTATGCCTACAAAACTTTTGTTTCTCTTTTTTGCACTTGATGTACGTTAGTTTAAATTGATTAATAGAAGTAGTCACGAACATCTTATGTGACCACATTTGAGGGGTAGTCTTTCAAGGAACTTAAGGGACAAATATTACAAACTTCAAGGATCAAAGTGATAAAATTTGAAGGACCAAACCAACATCTCAATTGGATTATAGTGACAGATATTGAAAATTGAGAGGCTAAAGTGAAACAGTAGAAAAGAAGGATGACCAAAATAACATGTTGACTCTCTCTTTTCGAGGTTTTCCCCAAATCCGGCCCCCCTCAAATCTTAATTTTAAAATTCAGTCAGTTTTGAAACTAATTTCTCAAATCCAACTTTTTTTTACAAACGTCATTTAAATGATGTTTTTCAGATATTAAAACGTCATTTGGAATGACGATTTAAAGTTGAATTTTTTTAAAAAAAACATCATTCTTAATGACGTTTTTAAAGTCGTCATTCTTAATGACATTTTTAAACATTAATTTTTAAATGACCACTAACCGACGTTAAAAAAATAAGGAGGTGAAAACGTCATTTACAATGACATTTTCTGCCCTTTTATAAATAATTATGTTTTTTACCCCTTTATTTACAATGAAATTTTAAAAACGTCTTCTTAACCTTTTACAATAACTTTTTCTTAGCCAAAAGTCTCCGACCTACTTGTAATAAATTTCATAAAAGCTAATTACTCCACCTAATTTCTCACATCATGATTCAACAAACAAAAAAATAAATATATAAATAAATAAATTTTAGAATTTAATTTTGTTTTCATAATAATTTTAAACTTATTTTATAATCGAAAATAAAATTCATAAAAGCATAATTTAAAGAGAGAATGATCCGAGTTCTCTAACTGAATTTCCCAGCCAATTCTAGTACATATTAAACCCAACTATTAAAATTTCAAAAGTATTTTAGCTTTAAACAAGCCATCATGAATTTGATTCATTTCACCTACTAGTTCAGTGGTTATTCTTCAATAGCAATGCTTCCTCACAACATCACAAACAGAGGAGACTTGAAGCTTTATCTATGATGATCATATACCTCAAAAAAAAAAAAAGCCACAATACCACTCATTTCTTGTACATTTTGAAACCCCGATAAATAGAATTCAATTTTTCATTATTTATCTTTATATAAGTGTACCCCAAGCCAAAGAACAACAAGTACTAATAACAGCCTCCATGCAAAAAGGCTATACATCATCATACAGGTTGTATGTACAAAACCCTTTTCCATTCATCTTCCTCTTTCAAACTCTTCACAAAACATATTGTAGGCAAACCACTCTTTAACCCTTTTCTACTCTCATCCTCCTCTTTTCCTTCACTGTATTGTATGTTAGGTGTGTTGCCTGTATGGCATGTTGTTCAAGGATTGTTTTCTGCAAATATATCCAACACAGAGAGAGCCTGCAAAATCCAAAACCAGACCAATATTTTAGCAAACTGTGCATTATAAAGTGTTATAAAGTGCTTTAAGCAAAAATCTTGTTAAGGAAATGTTGAGTAATTACCTCAAAGAAAGAGTTCCACTATTCGAATCGTGCAAAGTGATAAAATGTGCATCCTCGGCACTCTTTTTCGACTCTCCATTGTACCATGTTAAGGTTCCTGCATTGATCAGCCAATACATTTCTTTCAACAGATTTTAAAAATAGGACATTAATGAGCATCTAGACAATACACACCCAATAAGAAGCATTTTCAAGTAGTCATCCATCAAATGATTTAAGAAATTCAGCAACAGTACTTATGTTCAATTGATTCTTATCATCATTTCAGGATACACATAAATTCATGAAGCCTGTAGACGGTCTGGTGGCAGACACATTTATGTTAAAGCATTGTATACCTGGACAACTTTCCAATAAGACAATGAATTGCCTTTGCATTGTGCTGCATCCTATAAATATTTGGTCCAATCAACTTTTGGGTTAACGTGGAATACGCAATATATTCTCATACTTCTTCCTTCCATGATTCTTATGGTAGGAATGCATTTAGGACATTGGCACATTGCCGTGATGGATGACCACAGAAAAGTTAAATTCTCTTTGTATCTAATGCATTAACTGGTTCCTGTTCTCTCGTTGCATGAAGTATAATTGTCCCTGAAAGTACAGTGATGAATCCACTTGTCTCAGAAGCTATGCTGCTTGCATCCTGACCTAACCAATCCTGCAAAAAATAGATGTCAACATAGATAATACAGTTAAATTCCCTCGTAATTGTGTGAAACCAGATGCAGCATAAGTGGATGAACCAGGCAATCTACCTTGAACATTATTGCGCTAGCAACGATGGTAAGAATAGTGAACATCATGTAATATATTGGAGAAACGATAGCCGCATTGAATGTATCCAAAGCCTAGAACAAAGGCACTATTGGCATCAGTGAACATGAAAACGTAAAAACTCATTGATGCTGAGTTTTAGACTACCACAGTTTTGCAAAGGAGTCCAGATAAACCTGTTTTGTAAATCAATGTCCCTAAATCTGTACACATAAGTTTGGCGAGCCTTTAATCAAGTATAAGCATCTTATACTAGATAGGTATGTTATGTGTACACAGTACAATTCAATCAATGCATGTGATACCCCTAAGAGTGATTACCCCTTGAGGCATTCACCTCAAATTATTTAAGGTCCAATGTTGTGACCCAAGGTGTTTCCATAGGTTCTGGACAACTATCATTAGCCTTGGTGTGTGGACGAATGGCATCTTAGTTACTTATGTCTTCCAACTAATTAAATATGATTTTGTGCACAGCTACCAAAATGTTTGAACTTTTCGCTGCTTTTACCTCTAATTTCCTTTTTTTTGATGTGAATGGCTCTAGATTGGGGGGAAACAAGTGGAAGCAGCTGCACAGAAGGGAACCACATACTCATTGAGTTTACTATTTGGGGAAAAGAAAGTATAGTGAATTTTTGGTGATGATTGAAAAAATAACCAAAAAGTTGGAAAATATCAGTGAGTGATGCTAGCTCTATAGGATTGTGGTGCCGTACCCCGTCATAGGCAGAGACACAAGAAGTTCCAATTTGAAAACTTCATCAAAATCAGTACATTTGTTTATATGGCTTGTTAATAAATGAGAGGTTGTTTATATATACGAGTGAAATGTTAGATATTTGATTTGTATATTTTAACACATAGAGGGTGGAAAATACTGAAAGAAATGGAGAGAGCATCACCAAAGAAATTTGATTGCCGAAATGTTCCTCTTCGTGAGACAAGGCTTCCTCGTCGGACTGATCCTTGACCGACTGGGCTTCCTCATCAGAGAAGAGTCTGGCTTAGTGGTTGGAGAAGGATGCAAAATCGATGCTCCTCGTCGAAGAAAACGGGGGGCTACGATTGGATGGCGGAAGAGGAGGACAAGGGATCTGAGCGAGAGAAAGGGGATCTGATCTGAGAAAGGTGATCTGATCGAGAGAGAGGGGATCCGACTGTGAGAGTGATCTGAGAGAGAGATGCAATAGAGAGTGATCTGAGAGAGAGAGAGAGGCGGTAGAGTTAAAAAATCTAAGATGTACAGGAAATAACTTTTTATTAAGTTTTTGAAATGACGTTTTAAAAAAAAAACTAGGTTTGAAAAATAAGTTAAAAATTGACTAAGTTGAGGAATTAAGATTTGAGGGGGGTTGGGATTGGGGAAAACCTCCTCTCTTTCTTGCTCCCTCCCTATTAGCTTTTTTAGTAAACCCTTTCGATTATTAGTAGGGACATTAAGTGAGATGTCCTTCAAGTAAGATCGAAACATACTCCCTTTATGACCTAAAACAAGTTGATCTCCGCATTTGGATTCCTATTTAGGGCAAGAATGAGGCTTGGCTAGCTAATGTTTGAGCGATTATCATTGTACTATACCCTATGACTCTTATTATCAATATGACCTCCATAATTATTAAGCTACATGAGTAATTCTGAACTTTGGATATGCACCCACCAATATATATATCCGAAGTTAGAAGTGATCCAACTGTTATGAATCAACTCGAACTTGACATCATCAAATCGTAACTTCTCTGGTTTAAGTTATAGCATGAGTGCATGACCAAGTTGGGTCAGTTTTCATACAATACGTCCTAAAATCCTTGGGAAAAAAGGGAAATGCACTTCTTTAAGTCATCTCCTATATAAATCCCTAAGGAGTGTTCTCATATTTATTAATCTGTTTATCTGAAACAACAAAATGTTATTCCAACCTAATTTACTACTGGCGTTACATCCAAGGACGTTTTGTTTAAGAAACCAAAATGGGGTTCTGTAAGATTTCAATAGCTCTTGTTTCTCTCATGGTCTTAGCAGTATTTCATTCCTCTCAAGCCCAAAACTCACCAAAAGACTACCTCATTGCTCACAATGGTGCTCGAGCACAAGTGGGTGTTGGCCCTATGACACGGGACAATAAAGTAGCTGCCTATACACAGAACTATGTCAATAAGAAGGCTGATGACTGCAATTTGGTGCATTCCAATGGCCCCTATGGCAAAAACCTTGTCGAGGCCAGTTATGGCACTACCGAAGCCAAAGATGTAAACCTGTGGGTTAAGGAGAAGCCTATGTATGACTACAACTCCAACTCTTGCATAGGGGGAAAATGTGGGCACTATACTAGGTGGTTTGGCACAACTCAATTCACCTCGGATGCGCTAGGGTTCAGTGCAAGTGGTTAGTGGTTTGTGAACTGCGACTACAATCCCCCATACCTCTCTTCTATTTTGGAGGATCTTCTGTCCAATTGTCTAGAAGATCAATCATCCCTTTGAATACACCTTTCAACCTTTGTATTTGGTTCCCCTTTCGGTTCTATAAAATTCATCTTACTTACGGAAAAAAAAAACTACAATCCCCCAAGATTGAGGAACGTTCTTATCATAAATAGAGACATTTCAATTAATTTACGAGCATTGCTACTTAGACTAAATTTATTTGTCAAATTTGTTGACCAAATTCATCGTTGTCGTTTAGTTAAGAGTAAACCCTCTTTATTATAGAGAACCACTCCAAATCGAACAACAACAGTGGATTTAGTCAATATACTTGGTTAGTAAATTTAGCCAAAGTATTATTGTTGTTACCTTAAAGCAACTATTACTTCTTCCGTGCATGTAATCTTTACTAATACTCCATATATGTGGCTCAGAATGAGACAAAAGTCAAATTACGGTAATGAAGTTGAGAGGAGATCAAGTCTATCTAATTATAATAAGCCTCATGATTCCTTCCGTTACGGGCGTTATTAGATCTAAAGGCCTAGCTACACTTTGTCATCTCAACTACATCAAAATAAATGATTTTCCCTTTATGTAATAAATCACCCTCCATCTTTAAGTGTTGGCATCTCCTATATAACCCTAAGAATTTTTCCCATAAGTCATATCTATTGACCTATTTATCTCAAAAAATAGAAATGTTGTTCCGACCTAGTTTGTTGACCTAAGTTATTGTTGGTGTTGTGTCCAAGGAATATTTGTTTAAGAAACCAAAATGGGGTTTTGTAAGATTTCAATAGCTCTTGTATCTCTCATGGTATTAGTAGTATTTCCTTCCTCTCAAGCCCAAAACTCACACAGAGACTACCTCATTGCTCACAATGCTGCTCGAGCACAAGTGGGTGTTGATCCTATGACATGGGACAACAAAGTAGCTGCCTATGCACAAAACTATGCCAA